TTCTCAGCATCTTTTCTCTTCCACAGCCGCACCCCTAACTATTACTTACTTTTCATTTATTTTCTCTCCTCTCCTGTCCCCATTTATTTACCCCTCCCCAGGGTAAGCTGCATGAGAACAAATTATTTCCCTTGTTTACTGCTATGTTAGAAATAGAATAGGTCCGGCCAAGTAGAAGCTCAGTGAATATTTATTGAATTTATTTATGAATTTATTTTATACAACTGTGGTCAGATTAAGGGCTCAATTTCTTAAATTATCAAGTGCTAACTAGGATCTCTAGTGTTTTACAAATGCGTTCTTTTTCTGAATTGTCACTTTCTATGAACATGATATGTAAAATAATGTGGATTTTAAAAATTTTTGGATCGTAAAAGTGGAATGATAAATCTTGTGGAACACTGAAACAAGGTTTACTTTGTAAAAATTCATTTTGTTACTCTTTGTTGTTGTGTTTTTTTGTTTTTTGTACCAGGAATCGAACTCAGACCTTGTGCTTGTTAGGCAGATGGTGGAACCACTGAGCTAAATCCTTGGCCCCTAATTTTGTTATTCTTAATGTTAGTAGTTTTTATTAAACTCATTAACTGAAGGAATAGCCAAGTCCTTGACAAAAAACAGCCGTGTGTAACTAACCAGACCTTCCTTCATCCCTGTGCCATACTTCTGGCTACTTTCATCCCACTGAGTCTGAATCCTATTTTCTTCAATCTTTACTTTCTGTTTAATATAACTTTGTAACACCCATATACATTCTGTTTTTTTTTTTTTTTTTTTTTTTTTTGTACTGGGGATCAAACTTGGGTCCTTGCGCTTGCAAGGCAGGCGGTAGCACCATTGAACTGAATCTCCAGCCCAACCCATATACATTCTTAAAAGTTTTTGGGCATGTGGTATGTATATATGTGCAGTTTTGATTTTAAAACTGATTTTTGCATATATAGTCATAAAATACATAAATTTTGTTGTGTATTTGATATATATGGTATATATTTGATATGTATTTATTTTTGATATGTGTGTGTGTGTGTGTGTGTGTGTGTATATATGTATTTATTTATTTATTTTCCCTTGAAATACTGGGACCACAAATTTCAGATTTGAAATTTTGAATTTGTCAATATTTCCATAGACTTTATAGTTCAGCACACCTAATCTGGAAATCTAAAATGTTTCAAATTTCCGGGTAATTTTGATTTCAAGTTTTTGGATCAGAAATGCTCAGCTGGGGTACATATAGTATGTGTTACCAAAGATGCTATAATTCATTCGTTTTGGTTACTGTATAACATTTTCTTGTGTGATTGTCCCGTGCTTAATTCACTCGTTTTCTTTCAAACAATTTAATTGTGGAAAACTTGTATCAACCACTATGAGCTTCATAGCTTTCCAACATTGAGATTGGGTTAATAGTGGCAATATTAATTAAAGTAATGTTTTAATACTATATAATGAAAAGTGTCTAGACTAGGAACTTTTTAATGAATATTTTGCTCTCCAAATGACCAACATTAATGATTTTAACTTACGTATGAGTAAAAGATCTTTTCAAGGATCAAGGCAGACCAAAGGATTTTAATGTAACAAAATATAAAATATTCCTTGACAGGGTTTTAGATCTGTTATTGAAGGCATGATTTAAGAAACCTTCACTTCTTGAGTTTTGGTGTAGTATCAGAGAAAAAAGGATGTTATTTCATTATTACCTATATAAAATTAAATATTTGATTTTCTTCAATGTACATTAACCAAACAACATTTTACAGCACCATGTTTGTGGTAGTGGATATGAGAATCTTACTCTCTTTTCTAGGTCAGTTGTTGAAGAGATCTGCAAAAAATATAGAATAAAGCTACCTTGCTATAATGTATAAAGTACATTTTTTTGAAAATAGGTATTTTCATAAAATGTTATTTATATTATATAATGCTTTTAAAATGTACTAAGCATTTTATAACTCAATTTTAATTTATAACATAGTAAATATGGATAGATATACACAAAAGCTCAGAATGAAAGGGATCCTGAGATAAAAGAATTTGAGAATTCTCGGCTAAGATGTATCTAACTATATTTTCTAATAAAAGATTTGAAAATTTTTTGGTTACTTTTCTAAGTTTTTTGGTTGGTTTCCTAATTTGCAACATTTCAGTCCCTAAACTATCTTTATGTACTGAACTGTGAATATCAATAAAGAATTCCAGACCTTCATGGCAAGGTATTAAATTAAAAAGCATATGTCTTTTTAGTCCAATATCGTCACTTTTAAGTATCTGTATCTTTCACTTGGTTTCCTTCCTGTCTTTGTCTTTCTGTAAGGTTGGTTGTTTTTGATTCTCCATTCACTCACCAGACGTGTATGTCAAGCAAGCAAATACTGACCTCCCTGTCTTTCCATTTACCTATTTACCCCGCCTTTTTTGGTGTAAACCTGTGGGACTCATAGGCCTGACTCTGAGCTCTGAGCATCCTAGCTGTCACATTCTCTGAATTGTCTAGGAAGAAGTGGCCTAATGTTTTAGAAAGAAGGTCCCTTCTGTTAGTAAACACGTGTTGATAGATGTTCATTACCTGTGTACTTGCACGATGCCCACTTTTTTGTGGAAGTGACAACTGGTAAATAGAAGTATTATTTCCCTTATCTTTATAATTTCTTTTTAGGACTTAGTCACATATTACAACCCAAGCAGTTTCTTGTGGGGTTGGCTCTTACCACTACTACCTCTAACTTAGTTATTTTATTAGCAGGGATGAAAAATGAGAGGGGATTCCATTTTTATTGAATGGCTGCTATGTGCCAGGCACCTGCCCCCTTTAATAGGTGATGGGACAGAGGAAGATAAAAGAAATAAAAGAGGTTAAAAATAAAACAACATGAAAACAGAAGTAAAAGATGTAGCTGAAGGTCATCGCTGCTTCAGATTTAGCTGTTTATCTCCAAATCACATCTACTTTTTCACCATGCCAAATTGGCTTAGCAAAAATCTGAGTTCCAATAATATTTACCATTTCATTCAGCACAGTTATTACCTGTGTTATGTAAACTGCCCGTCCAGAGGCCAGCCAGTCCTGCACTCTTTTTGCATCTCCAACTTGTATTTATGCATAAATTACAACTTTTGTTGGACACAGTCATCTTAATTCAGTCAAGAAGGGAAGGGTGAAAAAAATAGTGAATTTGAGGTCTGACTGCTTTTATCTTCAAGTTCCATCCTTGAGATTTATTAGATATATCATCTTGTTTGAGTTACTGAACATCTTTTGGTCCTGTTTTCCTAATTTTGAAGCAGAGATAATAAGAGAAAGCCTTCTGCATTGTTGCCTGGCTGCCAGAAACATGGAGTGAGATGACAATGTCTGTGTAAAGGTTTTAAAAACAGAAGATTGTATCATGGGAGTTCAGTACTTGAAATTTTAAATTAGAAATATTGGTTATCTTTGTCATAGGAAAATTATTGTAAAATATCATTAGCGGTTTTTCCCTTCTCCTTGACTTAACAGGTTTGCCTTTCTATGCATGATCCTGACCTAAGGGCAGGGAAAGAAACCTGCCTTTTTTCCTTTTTTTGTCAGGTTGAGTCATCACATTGCTGATATTCAGCTTTTTTTTTTTTTTTTTTTTTTTTTTTTTTTTTTTTTTTTTTTTTTTTTTTTTTTTTTTAATTTAGATGACATTTTCTTGTGCTTAATGTTAACACATTTAAAAGTTATTAGCAAAACTACAAATGAATGAAAAAGTATATATATTTATACCAGTATGAATAAGAATATAGAAAATACCAAAAAACCCAGTAAATTTAGATCTTGTTTTGTTTTCAAACATAATTTTATGCTAAATTTTCTTTTTCAGGCAATATTGATTGCATGTGTTGATTTCTAGTAGCTTGGGAAAGTTTTCCATTGAAGAAGCACTAAAGGCCATGAAATGAAGCACCGTTCTTAAAATGGGTCGGGCACATGCAGACAGTTGACCATCATAGAAAGGGGTTGTGAATGTCAGCCTCGTCATTTTAGTTACGATGTGAGACACATACACAAGAGTGATTGATACATTATTTTCTAAATCTCTTACCTAGTTTCTTTGCAAAATGGGGCTCTTTAAAAATATATTTTTTTGAGGCTATAAAATAAAATAGTGGACTCTAAGCATGATTTACATTATAAAAATTATTAGTCTAAATTTTATAGAATTTACTGTGCATTTTATATAAAAACAGAGTAAGGTTTATAAATTATGCATACTGTTCCTCTTTGCCACCCACCAATAAAACTAAAAATGCTAGGGAATGTTTGTTAAATTTCTAAGGAAGAAATCAGAAGTTAAGAATCAAGGAAATTATAGTTGAAACCTATGACAATAATAGAAATAACTATGATATCTCTTAATTCTGGTTTCTTTTCTTTGAAAATAAATTGTGACTCACCATTAAGTTCCACACCAGTAGGCCAGGCATTTAATGCTGTAGAGAAGACTTTAAGAACTTTCTTGCATGAAGCATTTCACATTAGTTTCAGTTTTTGTGAGGATGTGGCCTTTTATGCTCCTAAATCAAACTTTCTGCTTTTTATTGTCTTTCTTGAGCATCTTAGTTCTTTATTGGACTGCCGTTGCCCTGAGGATTACATCATAACCCAGCTGTCTTGGGGCATATCGGATAACCCATTTTTAACTCTTTATCTGCATATATACAACACTGTCCTGTAGTTGACTCATGCAACTTTTTTTAAAAATTGGAATTTCATGATGCCTAAATTATGAGTCCTATGTAAGCCAGTCATGCTCCAATAAATTAAAGAATATTTGCAGAGAAAAAGTAACTAGACTTAGTTTATTCTTTGAACTTGGAAAAATCCAGTCTCACTTATAAAAATTCAGTCTCACTCTGTCATTTCATCTGTTAAAAGAATTAGGAGATTAAGAGCATCAAAAGCCATTTTACATTGCACTTATAAATATTCTCTTAAAATATTCTGTATTGGATGGAATTTTCCTACTTACCTATTTTTCCATTCTCCTATGGTCTATGTAGGCAAGAGGGGATCAGCAAGTGAGTATAACATCTGACTGATGTTGAGGGAAATGTAGTTTGCTTTCTGTCTGAACTGCTCATGTTGATCAGTGGGAAATGCTGCATTAGCTCTCAAATCAAAACATTTAAAGTGCTCTCTGAAATGTTGACGACTTGCCAAAGGTTTCAACTTCAAGTGTGCAAATGCCTGGTACTCTTTGGAGCCTCGCTGTGATTTGTGCTTGTATCAGTTGCATCTGATTTGGATTTGCTTAGAATTACAAGTTATAAGGCTTGGCCAAGGTAAACAAGGTGAAAGCAGTATGGAGAGAGAGCCAGAGAGATTGAGCAAGTGGTGCTCCAGCCAGCGGGAAGATGGATCTTTCCCATGCCTAGTTCTGACCTTTTCCTGTGAAGCTGTTGTAATAATAGCTTCTGTGTTCTTTTGGAAAGTATTTGCAAGTTGTACTTCACATGGCCTCAGCTCCCTCAAACTTGTTGGAAAATAAAAATATTTGGTAGTAAAGAGTAACTGCAAATTTCTCACTTTGATAACCAGGGGAGAAAGCAGGAAGGCTGCACCTGTCAGTGCTCACCTGAGTCTTGATCATTTCAGGGCAAGAGAACTGTCAAAAGAGGAGAGGTAATCAGAGGAGCCTAGACCATCTCTTTTGAGATATCTTGGTGTACTTCTTCCTCTAGCCCTTTATTGTCCTTGGGTGCATTTGATACTTGACATATTCCCAGCCTTGAATTGATATATCGGGGCCTCTCATTTTTCTTCAGGTTATCACTTCAGTTGAAATCTAGTTTTGGAAAAACCCTGTTTCTATCTTGGGTTGTCAGTTTTCCTTAATCTACATATGCCTTATTTAACTAATTGTTCCTGGGGTTTATTACTCTTAAATTGCCCTCTGGAGTAACACAGTGGTAATACATCTCATTTATGGATGAAGAGCTCGGGTCTTCTAGACTGTTCAGAAACTATCCAAACTGTTATGAGTAATTCTTCTATGATGTGTGTATAAAAACACACATCTTCTGTTGAAGATCCTGCCCTCAAGTCTTTTAAACATCATTGTCCCCCCTTTTCTGATGTTTTTCTCTCTGTGGTTTCAGTTACCCAGGGCCAGTCATGGTTTGAAAATATTAAATGGAAAATTCCAGAAATAAACAATTTATAAGTTTTAAATCACATGCCATTCAGAGTAGTGTGGGGTCACCTTAGAAATTAAATGCTTTTGTTTAAATACCACATTGTTTCTTTGGTGTGAAAAACAAAGGGGAAATAAGAACTGAGATGTATAATAGATGTTGGGAATTGGAACAAAAAAGGTCCACATGGGAAGAGGAACAAGGGAGGAGGGAGGACGGGACAAGAAAAAAAGTGATGAGAAGGAAAAATGGAAACAGGGGAAGAGGCTTGGGGAGGATAGGATAAAAAAAAAAAGAAAAATTTTAATGTTTTATCTCATCGAGCAAAAAAGTCTCTCATCACAGATTTAATCTTTTAAAATACATTAATCACACGATTGTTTAGTAAATTGGAGGCCTTACAGCCACATAACTGAGGGAATGCAGGGGGAAGACAGAGAGTTCCATTTTTTAAAAATAAAATTGCTGTTTAGCTATTTCTACTAATGTATGATACACATCGGGACTTAAATATTGACTGTAACGTTTGGCATACAGAGGCACCTAAGTTCTTATCATTCATTGGTTCTGGCTGGTGTGACAATTTCCAAAAAAAACAAAACAAAAACTAACCAGTGCCAAACCGATTGTTTTGGATTGAAAGGGTAGCAAGTTGAGTGGCAATTCGCACTAGTGAATTTTACCTTGCATGCTGAACACTGGAAGAAAATTCTTGTGTCATAATGCATCAAGTGGCAAACTTGATGAATTTTAAAGCAGTTAAGTACCAACATATGACTGTAATTCAAAAGAAAGACACGTTAGATAATGAGTCTCTGGTAGACTATAGAAAGACCCCACAGTATTTAAATGTTATTCCGCTGTCAGTAATGGTTCTGCATTGCTTGCTGGAGGCATTTATGTTGCCTTGTGCCTTTGCCAGACACCTGTGTCCTTGTAAGGCCCTTTTCTGTATCCTTTCAGTCTTTCCTGAAGACTCTGAAGCCATCTGCTGGAGCAGGCCCTGACATGACACCTTTCTTTGCCCATCTTTGGCTAGAATTTTATCCAGGACAAATTAAGCAAAACAATTACAGTAAACTTATCCACTTCCATAGAGAGCCAAATTCAGGGTTAGATCAATATTTCTTTGCTATATTGAGTTTATGCTATATTGAGTTAAAATTGGATAAAGCCCCGTCTGTGCCTGTTGGAGCCAGGGGTCTTTGGGCTGGTTACATAATCTACTACTCATTCATAGTTCTACCTATGAAATTGTTGGAAAACTTACATGAAATAATATATATTTTCTTACTGTAGTGCTCAGCTGAATTAGTCTTTTAACGATAGTAGGGGCTCTCAATAATATGATAGGCTACTTGTGACAGTTTTCTTGAAAGTTTCATTATTGCTACTCAGACAAAATATGTGGTCTTAAAGTACCCTTCATTATCAAAAATCACGACCAGTCTCTTGTCCTCCAGGATAATGCTGGTGGCGTTATTTAGCGATGCTTAGATGAATCTTTTTTCTATGGTCTGGGATGCTAAATAATAAGGACAAACAGAGTAAGGAAAACAAAAGCCATATGAGCAGAGCATTTTGTTAATGATTTGTTAGTTCAGCAGATGGTGGGAAATTACACAAAGTTTTTCTTTTTAAATTGGCCTACAGAAAAATAATGTTTGAATTTGTTGAATAGCTCTTGCCATTTGCTAAATCAAACATCGGTTATTGAATGCATATATGAAATATGTGTGGTTTTTCAGAAGTTAGAATGTGTCTGAGGCATATAGCTGGAAAAATAAGCAAACAAAATCTGCTTCTGAAACAGAAAATACTATCTTTTAAACGAAAAAGATTGTGGACATTTTCTGTCTGTTTTCTCGGAACCATTGGGATCGTTTCCAAGAGACCTTGCCTCCAAGGCATCTGTATGTAACTTCTTTCTCTGTAGCACTTATGCTTCAACTTCAAATGAATCCACACTTTACAGCAGTTGGCCTGTTGTAGTCAATTTAAATATTTACAGGATCTTGCTACTGCATATTAATCTTTTAGTCAGTTGAAACACTTGATGGCCTGCTGTTTTGGAGATCTAAGATTTATGCTTGCATAGATAAAAACATCATCTCCAGAATATATTGTATTAGCTAGAAAGCTGGCTCAGTCACATACTAGCTGTGTGTTTCTGGGCATATTACTTAACCTTTCTGTGCCTCAGAAGGCTTATCCTTGGGAAAGTCTGTGCAAAAATAAGGATAATTGCTTGTTGCGGCGGTGAGGAATATTGTGCGTGACTGGCACCTCGAAGAGCAGAATAAATGTTGCCTATCGTGGGTATTATTTCTCACATGGAGAACTAAGAAAAAACAAAACCAAACCAGACATGAAGAACTCATATTGTCCTGGATTTCTTGCCATTTCTAGAGAAGATAATGAATAATTGGAGAAAACATGGCTGTGAAATGGAGTTTAGTGTTTTGGGCCTGGATTTTGTAAGCATTTTCCTCAAGCCTATTTTAGACTGTCTTCTATCCAAGTGTCTTCTGGGCCATTTGGCTTAGTGGAGATTCACGAAGATTTTCATATTTTAGGTTTTGTATTTCCTCCTCTGCTGTAGCACTGGATTGCTCATTAATATGTGCTGCTGCTTTCTCAATTTTTCTTCTATCTTTTATATGTAGACAACATGAGAATAAATTTGTTTAGGCATGAAGTTCAGTTTTTCTGGCATGAAGCTCTATTTATGTTTGCTGTTCCTACTTAGTGAAGCTGTACACGTAGTATCCATATCATTCCCATCTGTAGGTTCTTTGTGTCCCTGAGGTCTTCACAGGCAGGCTTACTAGAGTTGTTTTCATTCAAACACACAAAACTATCTATGAGATAGATCAGAAAGATCTGAAAGCCAGATGAGAACTAGCTCAGTGGCACAACTAAATTCTCCAGATCTTCACAATTGTAACTTTTAGTATAATTTTATCAGTTCTTTTCACTTTGGTTAATTCTGCTAGTTGGCTTATTGGCAACAAAAGAATTTCCAGTGTGTTCTAATGTGGGCACTGTGTATAAACCAGCTGGAGAAAATTCTGTGTTTTCTTGAAGGTGGAAGAAGAAAACGATTGTTTCATGAAAGGTAGTTTGGGCATGCCCTTGTTCAAGTTTAGTGTCTCTTGTGCAGCAGAAGAATTAAAATTTTCACTTTCTTGACTGTTTTTTGAGTGACTGCTCAATCTTCAAAACTGTGGTATATCCTGAGGGACATGGCGGTTTCTGTTTCTACTTTTTGTTCACTTTAGCTCTGGCTTCGGAAATGATTGTATGGGCTCTTTTAGAGTTCTTTAGGGACAGATCTATTCCTGTTACAAGGTAGAGAAGGTGGGCAAGAAGCTTTGGAGTCGGGTGTGTCTACCATTCTGACCCTCTCTAGGGTTCCTTTCCGTCACCCATGCACCAGTGCTGATAATGGTACCTCACTGTCAGGCTGTCACATTGCTGTGTGAATTAGATAAAGTAGTGCACATGTATACACATCATTCATGGCACAAAGAATAGATAATATAGTACCATTTTCTTTTATTTTTCCAAATGAAAGTAATAATTCCATTGTATTCTGCTCTTCCTCCCTTCTTTGTAGACATTTCCTAGAAACAGACTCTTAACTTTGGACCATTCCCTGTGTACTGCAGTGGCATTGTCATATCGAGGTTGTAAAAATAGTTTGCATACTATTTGCAAACTAATAGTTTGTACACTCAACACTTTGCATCAGTGGTCAGGTTTGGGATTTTTGGCGGATGGACAGACAGTGGTTGGTGGATAGTAAGGATGAAGCAATATTGAAATGTTCTGTTTTTTACTTAGGTGCTCAGGGACTCAGTTGCTTTTCTCAGTTTATTTATTTATTCATTTATTGAGACAGGGTCATGCTGTATATTGCAGGCTGGCCTTGAACTCATGACTTAGCCCAGGATAGCCTTGAAATCTTGCCTCAGCCTCATGAGTTCTGGGATTACCACGGTGGTGATAATGGAAATTAAAACTAAAGCAACAATACCAATCTTCAGA